TGTAAGTTGGTTGTAAGTAGTCTGTAAGTTGGTTATAAACCCTAATGAGTGTCTGAATTAGTTATAAATTCTCATGAACGCTCTCTGGTTTCTAAGAATGGGTCAAAATTCTCGTTTAGTCCTTGTGTACCGATTAGTAAATTCCAGCTTAATAGTAACGAAAGATTTCCTCATGTCTAAAATATATATATAATTAGTTAAGAATCAAATGAAGTTACGCGTTGCACTTGCTCGACTGACAGATGCTTCGCGTGAACGCTCTACATGTGCTCAGCTTAAACTGAGCCGTGTAAACTGGTGAGATTAGAGGGATTATGGTGTTAATCTGGCGAGCCTAATGCCAGGGTTTACTATCCAATCGTTTCAACGTTTGCTATCGGGTCGGTTTATCGTTTGCTATCCGACAGCTTTTTAGTAACATCAGGGACCAGATTCACGAAGCAGTTACGAACGTGTACATCTTTTCTCAATCTTTGGCGGCTTTGTTTACAATTATTAAACAGTTAATGAGCTTCGAAGCACCAGGAGGCTGTTTATAACAATAACAACAGTTGATTGGCAAGTTTTCATGCTTGTAAACTGTTTAATAAATGTAACCAAAGCCGGCAAAAATTGAGGAAAGATGTACACGTTCGTAAGTACTTTGCGTAACTGCTTCGTGAATCTGGCTTCAGATTAACATCCACTATTTTTTTCCCCCCGAGAGAGATGGAAGCCTCGCCGGGTACAGAGAGAAATTCATTTTTCCTGTCAGAAGTTACAACAAGATACACACACTGGTGAGGGTGATGGAGCTGCCTCCCGCAGGTCGCTTTGAAGGCTAAGACCTGAGGCAAGAGACTTTAGCCTATCTCAAAAAAATGGAATTAAAGCCATTGCGGCTTTAATTCTAGCTTTTTTCCCTTCAGCCATTTGTAGTTTTTCTTAGCATGGCTCAAGAAAGCTTAGCTATATTTTAAGCTTTATTTCAAAGAGATCGGAAAACTTTTTTTTCAAATTTTTCACCAGTGCTCAAAATATAAAAAATCTTGGACAGTTGAGAGTAATTTTTTTATGAAAAATTAAAACAATAAAATTAATTGAATGCAAGTCATTAAAAAGTACATAACGTACCAAGTAGTTTACTTTGAACATTTACACTTTCCAAATATCAGAAGTAACATTGTCCAGACACAATCAGGAGACAATCAGGAGGGTTTTTGACGCCATTTCTAATTCCACAGACACGTCCACCCCCTCCCCCCAGGACGAGTCTCGATTCCATACTGCCCAACAGGCTCGACCAGACCCCCTCCCCCCTGTAATGGAGGCAGAAGCTCCCACAGTCCATTAGATCGAGCAGCGCTGATAATACCGAGGGCCGACGCCTCTCTATCTCTCTCTCCCCGCCCACCCTCTAAGCCGTGTACCGCTAGGCTTGGATCGATTAACTTCACGAGGAAGTAATGGGCGAAGTTACGGCTGTGGATCACGGCTCGACAACTTCCCATGAGCCGGAAGACGAAGGATGTTGGCTCACTACAACTTTCTGTGCTTACATCTTAAAATTCTTGGAGTTGAAATTGATTGAGAGAGAGAGAGAGAGACCCGATGACTCAGCCTATTGTACCACACAGGACTCCGACCCCCTCTCTCTTTCTATCTCCCTCTCTCCTTCTCTACCTGTCTACTTATGACTGCCTACCTGTCTCTTCTAACCCACTTTAGCACCTCTACGCCTCCTCCTCCTCCTCCACAGCCACCTTCGTCAAGAGGATGAACTCTCCCAACCTTCAACTCAAGCAAAATAATTCATCCTCATCTTATCCACGTTAGCACACACCCGCACTCGTCCTCCAGCCGTCAAGTCGCTCTCCAGCTGTGAACGACCCTCGTGACCACCATTCACGGGCGCCCTCTCCGCTGCTCCTCCACACACAGCCAGGCTGACAAGCCTCATCCTCTCACAATGTAGTTCTCACCTCGACGGATTTTGCAGGAATGAACCGGGGACTTTATCCGGTGGTGAGTGAGGTGAGGTGAGTGAGAGGGAGGTGGGTGAGAGGGAGGTGAGTGAGAGGGAGGTGGGTGAGAGGGAGGTGGGTGAGGGCTGGTGGGTGACAACTGGTGGGCCAGTCACATCTTACTATAGGCACTATTGTGTCATCAATAATATCATGGTTTACCAAGTTGTTCATATTATATTTTTAATATATTTTCTATGTAACTCTTATCCCTTGATGAAAGGGTAATAGTTTTGCTCTGTAAATTACAGTGATGGTCTGTCCTCTCAACTGTAATAGTGGTGTGTAAAGTGTCTTTAGGAAATTATGTTGTGGAAATCTTTGGAGCAGGACGGTGGGATCGAACGTCCGTCCTGGGTCACGCCTCAGACGCGTTCCTTAAGCCCTGGACGACGATGTGCTAAAAGTTATACAACTTGGAGTCTCCCCCTGAACCGAATCGGAATTTCAGTGTGTTCATTCACCTTACTACTTGTAGTCAGGAACGCCGTCACCTGAGGTCCGCCAGGAACGCCGTCACCTGAGGTCCGCCAGGAACGCCGTCACCTGAGGTCCGCCAGGAACGACGTCACCTGAAGTCCGCCAGGAACGCCGTCACCTGAGGTCCGCTAGGAACGCCGTCACCGGAAGTCCGCTAGGAACGCCGTCACCTGAGGTCCGCCAGGAACGCCGTCACCTGAGGTCCGCCAGGAACGCCGTCACCTGAGGTCCGCCAGGAACGCCGTCACCTGAGGTCCGGCAGGAACGCCGTCACCTGAAGTCCGCCAGGAACGCCGTCACCTGAGGTCCGCCAGGAACGCCGTCACCTGAGGTCCGCCAGGAACGCCGTCACCTGAGGTCCGCTAAGAACGCCGTCACCTGAGGTCCGCTAAGAACGCCGTCACCTGAGGTCCGCCAGGAACGCCGTCACCTGAGGTCCGCTAAGAACGCCATCAACGGCAGACTACATCACGAAGATTAATAGCGAGGACGAGGGCAAGTTTTGATAGATTTTGTTTCATAAGCCTCTTATTGACGCGACCCACAAGACGCCGAGATTATTGCGTATTGGATATCTTGTTTATTGAGAGAGAGAGAGAGAGAGAGAGAGAGAGAGAGAGAGAGAGAGAGAGAGAGAGAGAGAGAGAGAGAGAGAGAGAGAGAGAGAGAGAGAGAGAGAGAGAGAGAGAGAGAGAGAGAGAGAGAGAGAGAGAGAGAGAGAGAGAGAGAGAGAGAGAGAGAGAGAGAGAGAGAGAGACAGAGAGAGAGAGAGAGAGAGAGAGAGAGAGAGAGAGAGAGAGAGAGAGAGAGAGAGAGAGAGAGAGAGAGAGAGAGAGAGAGAGAGAGAGAGAGAGAGAGAGAGAGAGAGAGAGAGAGAGAGAGAGAGAGAGAGAGAGAGAGAGAGAGAGAGAGAGAGAGACAGAGAGAGAGAGAGAGAGAGAGAGAGAGAGAGAGAGAGAGAGAGAGAGAGAGAGAGAGAGAGAGAGAGAGAGAGAGAGAGAGGAGAGAGGAGAGAGGGGGGGGGGGGGAAGGGGGATGACCCTAAGACTGATGATGGTGGTGTCATATTGATTCTGAACATTTACTAATTATTCCCCGAGGCCTTTACTGACGCTTCCAGAGTTGTGATTGATTGGCGTCGAGGGAATAGGGGAGTGTGTGAGAGGGAGGGAGAGAAGGGGAGAGAGAGGGAGGGAGAGAAGGGGAGAGAAGGGGAGAGAGAGGGAGGGAGGGAGAGGAGAGATGGAGAGGGAGGGAGATCAGATGAAAAGGAATATGGATGGAGAGAGAAAGAATGGGAATGAGAGAAGGACCAAAAGAATCTGAAAAAGGAAATTATGAGACAGAAAAGGGGAAAGATGAAATTGACTCTGTTTACCCGTAACTGATAAAGCAAACAAATAATCCTGTACTAGCTCTCTTCTACAGTATATCCAGCCCGTCCTCCTAAGGTTTCCTAACGTCAAGAAAACGGTCAATTTAAAGTGTCCCCTCCTAACCTACCAGAGGACCCAAAACAGAAAACGGGACAGTACGTCAAGTCCCTTTCCTCGAGTCGCTTCCATTTCCTAGTACGACAATTGTTGGCCGTGTGTAACGCATACGGGCGAAAAGCGACGTTTTTTTGTGAGAAAACATTACACGTCCCAATCTTCGTAGCTAATTATACCTGAGTGAAGTAGATGGTGGACCCCCCCCCCCAGACCGATGTTGTGTGGAGTTCAGGGGCCAGGATCACGAAGCAGTTACGCAAGTACTTATGAACATGTACATCTTTCCTCAATCTTTGACGGCTTTGTTTACATTTATTAAACATTTTACAAGCATAAAAACTTGCCAATCAACTGTTGTTATTGTTATAAACAGCCTCCTGGTGCTTCGGAGCTCATTAACTGTTTAATAATTGTAAACAAAGCCGCCAAAGATTGAGAAAAGATGTACAGGTTCATAAGTGCTTTCGTGAATCTGGGACCAGTACCGTAAGTTGTCCAACACATAGGACTGAATTTCCCTGGACTTCATTTATACTTGTAAAGAGTCAGGCAAGCCTTTCCTTGGCGAGTCGACCTGTTGAAACTTGGCGAAGTATCCTGGCACATAGTGTACATTTAAGAGAACGTTCATTAAGGATGTCTTAGCACCATTCAAATATATTAGAATTGCGAAATGGTTGAACCTTTGATATCTCCAGCAAGGACATTAGGGGATATAGTGAAGACTGGATTAAGAGATTGGGGAATCCCAGACGATTGGAGTCTGAAATATGGATTCTAATGTCTCCCTGCCACACTCAACCCGCAGATACACGTGACATTGACCGGGGAAGCATTTATTAGAAATTAATTCTAATAAATGAATTAATTTATTAAGACATT